AAACATATTTTTTCCTATTGCTTCCAGCTAAAAGTTTGCACAGCCACCCATTGTACCCCCTATTATCTCCACGTTAAAGGTGTTTGTCATTGTAGTGCTGAGTGACACATCATCTCTACAAAAATTCCAGCCTTTAAGCAACAGAGCAATCTGAATTGCTTCTAATTTTTGTACACAGAAAGTGCTTATCTCCTCGGTAAGGCACAACTTCCCTTTTCATTTAAAAAATAAAGTTGTAATTTTTCTCCATAACACTAAAATCTCTGTAATAATAAAAAAAAAATCTCTAAAATAATTTTTAAAACTCAAGAGAAAATTCTCAGTGTGAACATCATCTCTCTAACATGCATGTCTTCTTTCCTTTTGAGAGTGCTTTATAATTTCAAAACAGCATCTGAGAACACTCTGTGCCTCAGCTCTGTGAAGGATTATTGTGCCTAAACACAAAGGGCAAACCCCCACCAAAACTCTCTGTGTTGCTCAAATGTCAAAAATCAGCATCACATCTGACCTCAGCAGGCGACATTTCTAAGGTATCACCTTGGGGGGACACATCCTCTTCTCTGTAGGTGCCAAGCAGAAGAATTTCCATCCATTTTTGAAGGACTGTAAATCCACTCTGTGCTGGGACAAAGAAACCCATGAGGGTTTCCCTATCAGGGAGTGGAATGCACTGGCGATGATGCTGGAGGGCCAGCACTCACATCACAGTGTAGATGGGAAGGGGGATGAAAGTAACCTGAAGTCTTCAGTCTTGCTTTCTTCCAGGAAACTCCACCTATGAAGACAGTCTGAAGAATTTTTAGTTTTGCTTCCAAGTCATGGGATACCCAAGGATATGGGTAAGCCTCAGATTTGTTTGTGCCTGCTGCCATGAGTTGGCTTCTTTTCCTTCAGCTGCGCTTTCACAGACTCCAATTTCTTCAGTGTTTTTTAGCAGCCTTCTTTACCCTGACACTTTCTCACAGCCTAGGCCAAGCTGCTCTGCCTTCCCACTGAACACCAACAACCTCAGTAGCATCACCTTCTCTCTTCTCTAAAATGGCAATTTCCAAAAATGGAGATTTCTGCTTGTAATGGGGATGAAGACAAAAGGTAGCACATATTATCCGCCTTTTGAAGGACTTGGGACAGATGCTGGTGATGGCATTTTTAACCATTCCCTTTCTGCATTGACACTGGGTTGTGGCCCCCACACCACGAATGGGAACTTTGCACCCTGCACCCCTTCTGGATGAATCATCCCCTTTACAACCTACAAACAGGGACCACGTGGAACATCCACCAAAACCATTCACCCTGTGGCAGAAGCAGGGAGCGTGGAGGGATGTACAGGGATAGACACACAAAGGATGTGCAGGCAAATGTGAGGGAGATCCATATGGGGATGCATGGGGATGTGTGGGGAGATGCACAGGGGATGTGCAGGGAGATGACAGAGGGATACTCTGACTAAGCAGTTTCCTTCCCCTGCAAAACTCACAAAGCCTGACCAGGACGCTGAGACAGGGGAGAGTCTGTTGCACCACCAAAAGTGCCTGGCTTGCACCCTGAAGGGAGTTTTCCTGCACCTGTCCTCTAGTGCAACAGCATCCCACAGGATCTGACTCACTATGGCTTGTTCCTCTCTACCTACAGGAGTTAAAACAGCCATCCTGGCCAGGTATCTGCTAATATCCACTCTGAACAGCTATCAAGAGAGACCCAAGAGGCAAGACTGCTGATAAACTCTGTAAGAGGCCTGTGGCATCCCTGAAGTCCTTATGTGCTTTTCCCTTAGTCACCCCTGCCAGGGTGGCCTCATATTACCCCTAATCAGGCGAAAGAGTGAAGGAAGGCCTGATTAATCCTGAGGGGAACACAGAATTTACTATTTATTTCCTGAGTCTAGACAATTGTCACACTTTATTTCTGAGAAAATAAATTCCAAATGTCTGGTGTTAATTATAGGAAGAGAGAAAAATTGAGCATGTCTATGTCCATACAGTCCATGTGTAAACTGGAATTATACTACATTCCCAGCTGAAAGGACTGTTCTCATTGATACACACAACTATTTACTCCTGCATTATTGCTGGGATGTCTAAACAGTGTTAATTTTCCTATCAACTGTTTACTAAAGGAAGTGGAGGGGGAAGAAGATGAAAAGCACACTGAGTGCCTTGTTTGCTTTCTAAGTGCTTCACTTAACTAGATAAGATTTCTCAAGAACTTGGTACCCATCTACTGCCAACCACAAGAAGCCACATCACACTCAAAATCCTAGGAAGTATAACCTTTCATTCTGAAAACAAAATGATTCAAAATAACAAGAGGATTAGCATCTTCTCATAAGTTCTTAAACAAATTCTGATCACTCCACATCATCCTGAAAGAATTCCTAGAAGTATACCCCGCAAAGCCCTGTTTTCAGCTGGCATCCCAAGCATTCTCTCCCCGTGTGAAGGGAAACAATTGCAAAATGGTGGCAGTATTGCTGGTTTTTTTGGACAAGATATTCATTGAACCCTCACCAACTGCTATAAACAGCTTTCAGCTGTGCATGTGGCTGCTACATTGGAATTTGCCCAGGTCGGGACTTTGACTCTCCTTCAGCTGTGAAGAAAATGGAACAAAACCATTCTTCATTTCTATCATCAGTTCAGTGCCTTCCATTTGGCAGAAACCTTTCAGAAAGTCTTAATTGTACAACCCAAATTCAAAAGGCTCCTATGGACTTAGCAATCGGTCAGTAGACAGTAACTGGAACAGTATCTAAGCCTCCTATTTCTATTCCTATTTTGCAGCTGTCCCTCTAGCATTTTGTGATGATCACAGATTGAGATGGTGTTTAATAATGAACGGGCAGTGCACATACATGCATGCTTTCCCAGTCAGGCATCACTCAAACTTCAGGGAACACCTGATGTACAGAAAGCATTACTCGCTTGTTTATTTGTCTCAGCATCATCTCTAAGGAAGTCTCCTGCAGAGCAAAAAACATCCCTGAAATATTCACACTTGGTGACATATGCCACTGCTGCATTTGTGTGGGGCATGAGTTTTCTTGGTGTTTTCTAAGTTCAGTTATCACTTGTGGAGTCCAAGCTGTTGTTTTTTTCAAAGCGTGAAACTTTGATTTTTAGTGACCAGTTTAACCTTTGGAATTTGCTGAGCAGACAATGCCTAAAGGAAAGACTCGACCAAAACCAGTGGTAGGCTCCCCCATCCATCTACTGCTAGGAAATGACCTTCTGCCTTCAGTCACTGCCAGCACTTGTCTTGCTGGCAAACCTAGCACCTTTTCTCTTGAGAAATCTGGTCTAGTGGAAGGTGTTGTCATCCATGCCAGGGGGTTGGAAAGAGATGATCTTTAAATCCCTTCCAATCCCAGCCACTCCATGGTTCTGTATTTCTAATAAGCTACAAAAATATCTCTGGTGCAACACCTAAATATTCTAATGCACAGAGGTAAATAAATACATGAAAAACTTGAAAAAAATTTTATTTTGTATCAAAATTTTACATGTTCATTCTAAAAATATGTAATTTAGTCAGGGTATTTTAAAAGAAAAACATAGAGGAGTTTCAGGATGCCTAATAAAATAGTTATTCCTCTAATATTTTTTTTCCACAAATCAAATGCATCATGGTCTAAGGACAACAGCAGAGGTTTTCTAACTATCACATGGAAAATATTATTAGTGCAGAACGCAGACTTTGCTGGTCTCTATAAAGCTTCGTATAGTTTGGGGCAAGCACACACGTATCAGTACAGCAACAATTATATGGTGTAATCCACTATTCAAAGCATTATCTTCTAAAAGTGGATTTTGAGTGTTACCTCTAGTGAAGGACTCAGGAGATGCACCTCCTCTTAAACTTAAGTCTAAATATATCATCTCTAAAGCACCTAAATTCACCAATGACTTCCCTCTTTGATCCCAATGCTGCCAGTGCCAGGGGAGTTTGGGAGATGCTGGAACCAATAGAGGCAGGCATTTCTCAGATATTTTACTATTTCAAAACCATTTCCTTAAATAACTTATTTTTTTAGTTTTTTCTGATTTTTACTTTGTATCATAGTATAAAGTGTGAGGGTTTAAATCACAGCAATTTTTACTTTATACCATACAAAGTTGCAGTACTAGTTGCTCTAATTCCCAACTATCCATGATGGACATGGTCCTAAAGCCTCCACTACAGCAACTCACAAAGCATCGTGTTGTATTTTCAGACATGCTTCTTAATGCTAAAGTATCAGGTTTAAAAATATCTTTAAGATAAATACATTTCTACAATCATCATCGAAAATGAAAGTAAGAATTTAGAGTAAGAATTCTTCTAAGAATTAAAATTTATCAGATGGTCTATGTCTGCAAGTTCAGCACATCTGCACCTGATATGGGCAGCATCACGGGGACACTGAGTAAAACGGAAAGCTATTTTAATGTCTGAATAGTAGTATGCATTAATCTGTTGATATAATAATAAATATTTTTACAGTGCCTGACTTCTCTGTATAAAACCTGTGGCTACTACTGGCTAAAATGTATAATAGCAAAATCTGGGTTGGATATAAATGTTTGTATTTCCATTAAGCCTACTTTTAAACAACTATAAAACATTTACAGACAGTTAAAACCAGTATTTTGTTACTGTTATCCATACACAAATCACTGGCAACAGACTAACTTCTAGCAAAACACCTGGGAAAGTTCTCAAAGTATCAGAAGTTCAGGACTACATGCAGCTTAGACAAGCATTCACAGAACTGATACAGCTTTTGTATCAGTTCTGCACAGGATATCAGTAGGAGCCAATATAATCCCCATTTTTAGTAACTGAGCAGGCTGCTGGTAGAAGCATGTGCTATCAGGTGTCCAGGCAAGCTGGAGTTCTGCTGTATGCTCAGTGTTGTCCATGCTTTAAGCTTCAAAAAACTTACAGTTTTAGTCGTATCACATATAACCCTAATTTATGTTTTTTTATAGCTATATAATGACAAAAATTACCTTTTCCACATTTAAGTTCCATACATGTAACTTTCCTACTTATTTTTTTCCTTTCAGTTCTGTTTAGTGATCTTGAAAAGGCAGTGCAGTTCTTTATCTTTCAGACTCCTTATATGCAAGGCATAGATAAGCATATCTCAACTTTTAAAGAATTTTAGGATCTTCAGATGTAAAGTTTTAAGAAAAAAATTAAAATTATCATTCTTGCATAAAAGTAACCTCAGAATTTTGAGCCTGCAGTAGCCAGCTGAGTTACAAGTGGTTTTTTTGTGTGTGTATGTATATAAAAATAACAAAGGAAGTACCCTCTCAAGCTCTGCAACATATTATCAGAAAAAAAACATCTCTATGACTCTATCATGGAATTTGAAAAGAACAATTCACCTATAAAACTGTATTGAAATATAAAAAAAATTCTTACAGCTAAAGTAAAAAAAAAAAACGGTTCAGCTCCATCAATTTGCTGTGCCACCTTCTTCTCACAGGTGCAGTTTCCAGGTACATTTAATGTGGTATGCTGTGAATACTGAGAAAACACTAAGGAATTTTTTTCAGTGTATTTCCTTTATCTTTCCAGGCTCAGACTACGTACCAAAATGAAAAAGCTAAATTGAAAGTGTGAGCATGATTATGAAGCATTTAGTTCCTCGGTAAGTTTTTATAATAGAAAAGCCCCTATGCTCAGGTAGGTACCCATGTAAAGGCTGGGTTCATTTTGGCATTAGTACTATGTATACCCCTAAGTTAGTAGCATGACATAATTTTGGTCAAGAAAATAATAAATAGCATCTGCAAGGGTCATCCCAGTCATAATATTCATGATTTCTCTATTATAATAAAGAATCTACAGCCAGGTTTGTCTCACACAGTGTAGCTTTTGAGCATATGAAGATAATTCAACTTAAACTGAGTCCTCAATGCGGGGGGTCAAGCTCAAAGTCCCACCACAGAAGTTGACAATCCTTGCCTATCTGGTCTATCCAAAAGGGTTATCTCCTCCAAGATCAGCACACCTGATATTTGTGCTATCAGCTGCTGTGGGGGCCTGTGGTTACAAGACCCACTTTTCCCAAAAAAGTTACTTCTGCCAGTGAGATTTCTCACAAAAAGGCTGTTGACCCCTACCCTTTCTTCCCAGTCCATCAGTACCATATGGGTACACTCTGAGCAGATATTGTTCTCCTTGGTTTTTCTCCTCATAGGGAAAAAATACAACATGACCACACTAACAAAGGTGTTTCTAGATTGTTAAAACAGGCTTTCTTCTCCTATTTACTGGCAAGAAAAATTATTCCAATTTCTAGGTGTTTGGGAGCCACTAGAGAATAGAGTGATGCATGGGCATTCCTCTGGGATTAAAGTATCTACTCACAGGATTGTAAGAGAACTACGGACTTACCTTGAAATAGAAAACTAATAGCAATTAAAATGCTTATTAAGCCTACTTTTTATCTTGAAAACCAACAAATGCTGCAGTAAATTTTTGCACTATGAAATGTATAAAGAACTTACAATTTGGCTTCTCAGCTTCCCTGCACTGCTACTGTGCTATTATAAACAGATTTACAAAACCAGTCGTTTTTCAACAGATTCGAGTTTAGCAGCCATAAATAACCATGAAAACCAGTAAAATAAACAATAAAGGAACTAGAATGAGGAACAGATGACAGTCATGACACTGTCCCGTACTACATTTAATCCCCACAGGTAGGTAGTATGTTCTTGAAATAAATCTGCAAGATATGTTTCTCAATGCTTAAAGAAAACAATTAGAATGATTTATCAGCAAAACAGAGAACATCTGTCAGTGCACTACAGCATTGCATGGAGTGTTCCAGAGGAGGTCAGCACCTGGTTTCACTCCTGACATGGTTTTTATATTCTGTATTCGAGATTTCGCAGTCAAGATGCACTTTGCATGTGTTCAGTCTCCTTACATTACTGTGCAGTGGCTCTTTTGAGAGTGGATATAGTTCCTGTAATCAGCAAGCTGCTTCAGGTACAAATTGGAAGGCCATCGGTGCATCTCTACGAAATTGCGCTCCTCCACTAGACAAAGCAATAGAGGAATTAAATGTAATATGCAAACATACAGCATAAGTGCACAGGCTGCAAAGTGTCTTTTAAAATTAGTTAAAAAACATCAAGGATATAAATGCAACATGAGAAATAAAGACGAGTGCTGCCAATTTTGCACAAGCTCTGCTATAGCCCAGACACACAAGTTATCACACGATGTTACGTTACTATTAGTTAGCAATTAACAAGTTGGTTCGTTGTTTTTTTTTTAATTAATACAATACTCATTAAAGAGAGCAGAGAAGTATTCTTAAAGATGTACATTCTTTGTACCTAGAGGATAACCATGTGTGGTAGTCAATTGCAAGGATCTTTCAATGCTGCAACACTACAAAACAGAGTATGTTAGTTCCTCGGCCAACAGTTAGTCTTAGGATCAGTACAAAATGCAAGGTGAGACACACAGTTAAGAATTCAGCAAGATTTTAATCTCTTATCGCATGTGGGTTTTGTCACTGACAAAATCAGGTAAAAGAATTTTTTTGCCATATTATTTAGATGAATCCCCTGTGTCTTTGCAGGAAGATGCATTTTCATCCCCCTACCCCAGATTTTCCAGAGTCAGCCTGCAGCAGTGGCTCCTGGTCCTTTGAGGGACTCAGACTTTTCTAGAGTTACACATCAGGAAGCAAATACACTGTTTTGGAAAATGAGTATCAGTTCCCTGGAAGAAATTAGGTTTATTTACTTGCATGGACAATAGTTGTTCAATTTCATGAGATCTGCTGGAGAGCACTGAAAGAATCCTATCTTGTTCAAGGAAAACTAAACAGTAAAAAAGAATGTATTAAAATGACCCATTACTTTGATTCAAATGTACAAACTAAACAAAATCATATAGATAATGTGAAAGGGTTAGCAAAAAATGTCCAAAGTGTTCCAGTCAATTCAGTTATGGATGGGAACCTGGCCATCAGAACAGGAACCAAAAAACAGGGTGATGCAGTGCTGGCTCTGTCACTTGCTGGTCCCGCAGTAGGGTGGTAAACCATCCCACTGGGGTAGAATATACAGTCTAAGGAAACCCTAATCATCTTCTCATGTAAAAGTGGTTTTGCCCAGAACATCACTTTTGATCTAAGCAGAACAAGAAAACACTTATTGTTTCAGAACTAACAGATAAATTACCTGAAAGTTCTTGAAATTCAGGCTTTTGACTGAAGATGAGGTAGTTAGTGGCAATAAAATGAAGAAGCCACGTTGAAAGGCAATCAGAATTGTGAAACTGTGAGAAGAAAGGAAACACAAACAACAAGTAATGGTAGCATGTCTAGAACAACCACTTCTCATATGGCAAAGTACTTCAAATTTTCCCTGTCCATATAGCAATTTACTAAATAAAGTTTTGACTGTGGGACAAACCAAAGGAAAAAACATTGATGGAAATATGAAAACAGCTGAAAACCCAAGAACGAATAGGAACAGAGATTATTAAGATCTTTAAAATCTTAGCAATTAAACAACTAATTAGAGTCAACATGATACCTTGGAGTTTTGATTTTTTTAAAATTTTTGTAGATCTTAGAAGTAGTTATGTAGTAAATGTAGATTTTAGAGTAGCAGCATATTATCCCTTTACCCTTTAACACTCCAACTACACGTAGCAAACCCTGTTACCTATTCCCATATCAATCCCCTAAATTCCACTGGCCTGTTTATTCTCATTTTCAAGGTAGAATTGTAGAGAACATCCCAACCCTATGCAAGAAGATATAGCCATAGACGCAACAATCTTCAGGCCTAGGACTCTGGAAGGCCTCCAAGGACATTATGTGCTCTGAGGAAGATGAAGATGAAGAAGAGGGGGTCCCAAAACGCCCCCAGACCCAATTCCCAAGAGGAGTGGCGGGGGCAGAACCCGGGCAGTGGTCGGACGGGGATTGCGTGAAAATCATTATAAAAACTGTGAACACCTGTATTTGAGAGCACACGTTGGGGGTATTCTAGAAAGCCTGGGGGCTCATTAAAGCCCTTGTATCCTTATCTTATCTCCTACCTAATTTGTCTTGGAGTCTTTTGTTCCCCACAGCCATTTAGGCAACAACATATATATTCTTATTTAACACGTACAACACATACCTTAGCTTTTTTTAGCAAGCTAACAATACTGAGACTGGTGGATGCCAGTTCCCTGCTAGGCATGCTCTGGAGCTGCGTGATAATATAGAGCTCACAAATATGCTGAAGTCTCATTACTTGGTACATCTCTGCACAGATCAACAGAGACATAGCCTGGAGAATACTGGCTGAAAAACAACAAAACATATATTTACATGTATTTTACCTTTCTGACAAGCTGATCAAAGCTACTTTTCACTAAGTCATCCTTTAAATACATAGCAACAAGCACAAAATCAAACTCCTGTGATCACCTTATTTTTCAGTATTATAATTTTAAGCTTGCTATATCACCTTTTTCCAGGTAAGCTATTTCATTAAGGAGAAAAGAGTGTTTAGAACTTTTCAGTAGGTAGGTGTAAAAAATTCCTGTCAATATCCTGTATCTTGAAGATGCTGAGTCAAGTGCTGCTAATCTACTGAAGTTATGACTGAGGATTTAGTTTTCCAACTTCTTTTCCATAAAAATATTTCTATGATACTTTTACAAGAAAATATAGTAAAAAGGCCAAATACAAACCAGAACCACCATGTTTTTTAAAATATATTATGGTGGTTGCAAACTTGAACTGATGGACAAGGAAATGTTAGGCTGAGTGAAAAGAGAAACCTACAGTAAAACTAAGAACAAAGTAGAATTATTACAAAAGAAAGCAAAAGAAAAAATACTTGTCACAATGCTATTAATTCATTCATTATATTAAGGGAAAATCAGCTGTATTTAAATAATATTTCATACTTAGTATGTAGATTTTCTTCTCATAAAAAAAGACATAGGTTAAGACACAAAGAATATTTTAGCTCTATTTTACTTGCCAAATGCTCCAGTTGACATACTTTTTTCCTGGTTTTACATACAAGTAAGATATCCATGCGTATAAATAAGTAAATCTTAACATTTGACCTTGTTTATATGGAAGTTAACTATGTGCATGTTAAAAAAATGACAATTTTGAAATAAAACCCAGAATAAGGACTAGAAAGCAGTATTATTGTGATGCAGAAAGAAAATTCCAAATATGGTAATGGATTAGGAATGAAACTTCACTTTTTTGAGTCTTGCTATGTAAGTACAAATCAAATAAATAATTTTTTCAGTAATATTTGTTCTGCCTACAGCTGATTTTAGTTGATTTGTTTACTCCACCATATGAACAAGTTCTCTTTCTAGAGACATTAAAATACTGGCATTTTTCACTGGAAGAAATGCTGCTACATTACTCTCTATCAATGCCCCGCTGTGGAAAAATGAGTCACAGGTATCAGTCACAAGTATACATGTATTTTAAAATTTTCTTACCTGGGCAGCAGGAGTCAGTATAAAGATACTCTAGAAAGGAGAGGAAAGTGTCTTTGGAAACCCCATACACTGGAACTAGGGCACTATTTGCCTCTAGATAATTACCATTAAACATAGCTGCCATAACCTCACAGCGAGCCACCAGAACTGCCCTGTGGGCTGGTACAGTTGCACCTGGCAAGACACAAGATAAAAATACACAGTGATTTTATATACACAGAAAGGTCTTTCTTTTAAAGCTCATGCTGTCTTAGAACGTCTTTACTTCACTGAACACGATTAAAGTGTTTGAAGTTAACAGTAACTTATAGCATACTCACTTCACACCGGCCAAGATGATCACATCTTCCTAGCAGCCACCAGCAAACAAAACGGAATGCCAAATTTTTTATGACAGCCTACTCCCAACACCAGAGGCTACAAATAGGGTAAAATTTTATGCCAGAAATGGGCTTTCAAACACCAAAAACTCCGACACCACTGTACTTCAGATGTCCTGTGCTTGTGCAGGTGGCAGCATGAGTGAGAATAAAATAAAATAAAATAAAATAAAATAAAATAAAATAAAATAAAATAAAATAAAATAAAATAAAATAAAATAAAATAAATAAAATAAAATAAAATATAATTAAACAAAAATGAAACAGACTAAACCAAAACAGAACTGACAAAATAGAATAAATCAGTTCACAGTAACTGAACCTCCATTCCACTGTGCAAATAGGCAATGCTATGAATTGTTATGCAAATGATCTGTGTTTGGATTTGATGATCTTAAGGGTCTTCTTCAATCTAAATCATTCTATGATTTTATGAGTAATCTGTGTTCACCAGTACCCCTTGGTAAAGAACGTGTGTACCAGAAGAATCACACAAAGCAGAGAAAGGCAAATTACTCCAGATGGAATCCCACTAAGTCCAGTAAGTAAGTAGAAATTTACCTGGATTAAGTATTTTGCCTCAGTGAATTTCCAGATAGTTGTCTTAGGGAAAAAAAAGGCTGATGAATTTGTCCAGAAATTTATTCACTTTGTATTATTTGCAAGTGAATTCTCTACTTTACTGCAATACTTGGAAAACCTAGTGAGGCCAAGAGTCATGTGTGGTAGAGGTCTTACAGGCTCTTAATGAAAGTGCTGCCAGCCCTGACACTCAGAATGGTGCAGAGTCTAGCTGAACTAAGAAGTCCTGTCTGTGCTCAAGACAGTGCCAAGCAAGTGCCAGTCAGGACAGCAACTATAATGGAAATGAGCTTTTACAGTTCCATATAAATGTTTTAACCAAAATTATAATACACAGATTAACTGACATGCAATATAAATATACTGGAAATACTTACAAAGAAGTTTTGTCTTCATTTTCTCTTTAATCACAACACTGGCATCAATCTAATTCTTTGAAGTCATCTGGCACTTTTTAAATTTTTTGTTCTATTTCTTTTCCCCTGTGCTTCTACTTCCAAAATGCCTAAGCTGCATACAAAATGTATATATTTCTATATAGAGAGAACACTTGCTTGTGGTCATGACACAAGTAATACATATGATGCTGCTGAGATGTAGAATGCATGCAGTTCTGTATGTGCATGTAAATGGACATCTATCTACTAATTAGGAGGTTCAGTCACTTTATGGGTATTAACACAAACACAATGGGCTCCCATTTTCCAAGGCTCCCAAGGACTTTTGTAAGCTAGAAAGCTCAAAGCAGTGCTCAGTATCCAAGGAATTACTTGGTAACTTACAAGTTTGTCTGATCAAGACTTAAGCCTTCAGTTTCTTAGTAGTTATTTAATTTTAATACAGTTGTTGTGGTTGATGAATTAGAGAAAAAGGATTGGAAGATGTATCAAGTCTTGGAAAAAACACTTCACATTTTACCAGTGGACACACATGCTTTTTTAAAATACTTGCCAACACATTCATTTGGATTTTTTCCTGCAAAATATATAGTGTTGTTCTGATTTCACCAGCTTCCCACAAAGCCTCTTTCAGGAGTAGGACACTGAGGTGAATTGTTCATGTCATTGCACTCAACATCAGTACTGTCCTCTCATTTTCAAAAACATTTTTGTGGGTTTTTTTCCTGCACATTAAATAGAACACCTAGAAAGGATTTCCTTGCCCTTGCGTACTTATACTTGAGGGATTAATGCTTCCTAAGTGAAGTATTTAGATATAAAGCTGAAAGTAATTAAACAACTCTCTAATTCTAAAAGACTATTTCTGCATGAAGGGTGACAACTGAGAAAATCATTAAGCATTTAAAACCCATCTCATTCTTATTCTCACAAACGCACGCTACACATTTCTCCGCCTTTATCTTTCATTTCAAGGATGAATACATTTAATTTCCAGAAATGACACTGTAGCATGTCAGGCAGTAAAATGTCGTGGGTGTTGATGGCACCAGATCTGCAGGTCATCAAACCCCAGCACATGTACGTGCATTGCTGGGTTGCCCATGCTGGTAAAGCCTGAGGAAGCAAGTCCCTGTCAGCTTCCGGAGGGACAAGAAAGGCAATCCGCAGCCAGAAGCAGCCTGAGATGCACAGAGGGAAGGCGGAGTCAATAACCACCATCTCTGGTCTTTTCACTGAGGGCAATGAGCACAGATGTGGAGACCATGACTAACCAAAGCGTGATGCAGGGTAGAACCCTTGAATATGTTCCAGTCCTTGTGTGGGTGGGAACAGCAGTGAGATAAATATAAAATAAAGTAAACTAAAATAAAATAAACCAAAATGAAATAGAATGAACCAAAGTAGAATAAAGAATAATAAAACAAAACAATATAAAATAAAACAAAGTAAAACAAGATAAAAAAACCCAAACCAAACCAGAATAAACCAAAAAATAATATAATAACAATAAATCAAAATATAATAGAATATAATAGAACAAAATCGAATCAAGTCACTGATGCTGTTGTGCAATTCCTGTTTTAGCCTTGCTGCTGTGGCACTGCTATTCCTGTAGCACATCCCTCATTTTATTAAGCCTCCAAGGGGTGCATGTCAATCAGGGAGGCACAAAGTCTACCATGACAGGCAAAGGCTATTCATACAGGCTTAGCCCAGATAAACCATGCTGATAATGGACACTGCTGCAGGGCATCCACAGGGACAAGCTTTCCCTGCCTTCCACAGTGACAGCAAATTTCCTTCGTTGTGATGCCACAGAACACGGTGGCCTCCATGTCCCACGCTCCTGCAGAGGGGATAAAAGATAAAGGCTGGAGTCACAGTGGTGCCCATGCCAAGGGGAACAGAGGTGCCTTACCTTGTATTTTGAAGATGACATCAGCTAGGACAGGTGTGTTAAAGAACAGCCTGAGGGAAGTATTATACAACTGCTTTATCTGGTGAGACCTGCAGTCCTTTACAGGGTTTAGCTGAAAAATAATCGGAAATAAAGCACTGTCACGTGTAGTTGCCCACAGAATTAAAGACTACAGGACATCATTTATATGGGGAAACTACACAACAGCCTCTCTCACGCACATTCCTCTGCAATCACCTTTATCATCTATTTCCCTATTCCCTACAGTGCAGCAGCTCCAAGGGGGCTCTGCCTCCCACAGTCACACCCCAGCTTTCACACTGTCCTGTCTGATCTGTGACAAAACTCCCTCTTCCAGCGCCTCCACAAAGGCGTGGGTACATCAGAGTTTCCTAGACTCCCCACTTTTCCACGCAGTCCCTGTTCAGTCCCAACGCTGCAGTTACACAAGGTTTGAGGACTCTGGGGGGAGCAGGGTGGGGGACACACATACACACACATACGTCCGCCCCCAGCACAATGCTGTGCACAGATACAAGGCAGCTGAAAGTTTGTGTTTCTTGATATTGCCCTGTTATTGCCTCCACAGAGGCAGGGGGAGCTCACAGGCTGCAACATACACTTCTCTTACAAAAATCTGGGCCTGCCAGTGTTGAGACCCTCCAAAACCCAGTATATTCCCAGTTAGTTTTCAGTTTTGGTTTTCTTACCTTCAAAATGGAAGCTAAAGGTACCAAAAGGAACAGCATTAAAATCATATTGCTAGACTGTGATAGGTGGAATTCACAGGAGGTTAAATTAACCGTTAAAATATTAAATTATTATTTATCATTTTTTAAAATTATAAAATTAAGATTCCTTTTTTTTGGTCTTCAAAGAAAAATGTTTTAATGTAAAGTAGAAGTAGTTTGAAGGCATAAAAAAAGAACAAAAGAAACAAAGACAACTCAGGCTTATTGTCTTGAAAGTTTTCAGTCCTTTCCAAGTCCAAAACTATGTATGTTTTAGTTGCAGACACTTAGGACTGGCAAGCCTACAACTGAGTAATCAGAAGCTTGAAACAGCTCAGTAACTTTTTGATCTTTATTTTGTGTTATCTCAAGAGAGTCTGAGATTGGTTCCAGCTTAGACAGATGGAAATACTTCGATCAAATTCTGTATCATCAGGGAATATACAAGCTCCACCAGCAAATGACTGTTAAAACTAGCTCTATATTGTAACTTTTTCTTAAATTAATAATGGGAAAAAAATTACATTTTACTGTGAAGTCATCTACTGAATTAAAGATATTGACAGCTTTCCACATCACAGCACTTGTAAGAGAAACCACCCCTTCGGATCTACTGCAGAATCCCAACTTTTGGCATATGTTCAGGAAAGCAAAGCTTTCCTGGGCAGCCTCTATTACATGGGAATTAGCAACACATAATCATATTGTCAGACAATGTGCAAAGCTGTGAATACAAGTAATCCTTTTAGAATACCCACTTGTGTGATTTTTACTGATTACATTAATTCTGCACATTGCATCAGCATCTCCATATTTCTATGCTGTATGTGCCTGCAAACACCCACTGATGACACAGTACAGGCTCTGAAAGCCAAAATCACTTTAAAACAAAGGCTGACAAGGAAACCTTGCCTACAAAATAATTTTTTAAGATTTAAGTAACTAACAGTGACCCCAAGGCAGCCAGATGTACCTTCCCTGGAGTTTTCAGGATGCATTTAACTTTCTCAAGCACTTGTTCAGTTTTTTCTGCATCCTTCAACTTCTTTTTTACATCCTCTTCTAATCGTTCCCACTGGAAAGCACCTGTAACAAGACCAGGAAGAGATGGATTAGAAATCAACAAGGCACAGGCCTCAGCAGGCAAAGAGGATATCAACACCAAACAGATCCCACAGAAACCTTATTCTGTTGCATTTAGCTCAGCCAAATGTGATGTTTAGGAAGGGCAAGATGCACTTCTTGCACAACAGAACTTTCACGGTACTTTACAGAGTGTAAGTACCAACAGCCTAGAGTATCTCACTTTCGAACTCTATTTCTGAATTCCTCCCAGCTCAATCACTACATATTGCAGGTAGACATTCAGAAAAAAAAAAAATTCTCAACGTTTGAATATTTGGAGAATTTCTTTAACTGAACTGTGTAGTTCTGCAACTACACAGTTTCACACCTCTTTGACATAAAGGAAGGCAAAAAGTAAAATTAGTGCACACAAGGCAGAAGACAGAAGTTGTAAATAGTAACAGATGAAGATGTCTACAAAGATGTTTAGTGTGGAAAAAAGGAAGCTCAGCAGGGACCTTATTGCTCTCTATAATAACCTGGCAGGAGGTTGTAGCCAGGGGGTCAGTCTCTTCTCACAGGTAACAAGTGACAGGACAAGAAGAAAGGGCCTCAAGTTGTGCCAGGAGACGTTTAGATTGGGTATCAGGAAAATTTCTTCACCTAAACGGTTGTCAAGCACTGGAATAAGCTGCCTAGGGCAGTGGTGGAGTCACCATCCCTGGAGGGACTTAAAAGATGTGTATATGTGGTATTTGGGGACATGGTTTAGTGGTGGCTTGCCAGTGCTGGGTTAGTGGTTGAACTTGATATCTTTTCCAACATGAACTGTTCTATGATTCTATGATTCCAAGACACTGCACTTATCCATCACCTGCTGAAATTCCAGTTTTAATCCTCTATTCATGTCTCCAATAAATAAGAACAAAAAAAAATCCATTCACACTGAAAAACTTCTGTATCTGTTCTTTATGTTTGGCACTGTTTTGGAAAGAACTTCAGTGTACAATCTATAACTGAAAGCTGAGATTCTTTCTTGTGCCTTCACAAGCCAGTTCTCATGTCTCAGCTACTAAAGCAGAAATACTTTTTATATGTCAGGCAGACATTAGTACAAAAATATTGATTGAAATTCTTTAGAGTTGCAGCTCTAACACTGTAATTATTTGTGGTCTTTTTTTTTTTTAAGTATTGCACTTAAAATCAGAATACATCATTAAAAGGCCTAATAATTCTTTCAACAAATATAAAAAAAATATATTCTTATGTACTCACAGGTTGAAAAATATTTTACAAAGAACAAAGAGATATTTAGTATTTCCATTAAAAAAAAAAAGGACAACAAAATAAACTTTCAGCTGAAGATTCCTAAGAAACACCTGAAAAGGTAGGAAAATATCAGTGCCGTTTTAATAGACAGATGGCATTAGGTAGGTGAGGTCATTGTCTGTACTGAATTCGGAGCAAAGCTCCCGCAACATCACAGGTCCCTACACTCCAACCATTTACCACCATTTTCTTCTCAGCAGAAAAATTACTTGAGTTTTCTTAAGTGACCCTGTACTTTTTGCCTCTGGGTTTAGAATATGCAATCATTCAAAATATTTTAAAAGTCTGGGATCTGAAACTGTCCCAAACCCTAGATTTTTTTTTGCAAAGCTTTTGAATATTACTGATGTTAGTTTATTGACTAACTTAATTTAGGTTCAGTAGATCTGGACTGAAAACTAATGAAATTTTTATTAAATCTAGGCAACGTGCTTTTTTTCATGTAGACATTGCTCAGACACAGGGTAGAAACACGGTGAAACATCATCTTGCAACAGCAAAGACGTGTTCCTCGGGGTGGTGCACATACTCCTTCAAGAGCCAACAGCCGCATAGGAAAGGAACAGCCAGACCTGTTCCTGGCACGTACCTGAATAAATGAAGTGGAGGATGTCAGGGAGAGAAGAGCAGAAGACAGAGTCCTTCACCACCACCCTTACGGGCAGGACACAGGGTGGCGCCTCATGGGGGGCCGTGGAGGAGGCAGCTCCCGCCTCCACTGCGAAGAGACTCTGTGCCATCTGCACGATGGAGGCGTCATGGATGTCAGCGGGGCTTTTCACCCCGAAGAGCAGCATGAAGAGGGGGCTGACGGAGCAGAGGATGACCTTGTGGGCCTCCACAACTGTGCTGAGGTCCTCGGGGTAGAAGGCCACATCAGCACACTGGCAGCCACAGAGCAGATTGTGCAGGTCCGTGTTGTAGTGGGAGGCTTCACCCTTCAGGATTGGCATTTTTTCTGTGAAAGACAAGAAGTCAGTCTCTAAAACTGAAGCAAGTGTTAACCACCGGACAACTGACCTGGTCAAATGAGGGACAATTTCTGAAAGAAGCATTCAATAACAAAACTTCTTACACGCCATTTGAACGTCTTCAGTAAAATACTCTAAAAAGGGAAATAGTTGTTATAGTAAAAAAGAAAAACCAACAAATACTTAGTTTAATAGTAAGTGTCCATCCTTTCATGAACCCTCTTTAGACAGTTAGATTACAAAGAAATCTTGACTGTGTATCCCAAACCTAAGGGGTCTGAGCAAATTTCTAGCATGTGTAAGAAGAAACAACAACAAATTTAGAGGTAATTACTTGTCAGTAATTATTTCACTGTAATTATTTCACTGAATAAATGCATCAGATGCTTATAAATCACATGCAGAGGCCAAACAACTCTCCCTTGCTTTATCTGCAGCAAATAAAAACATTACTTGATGATACTGTAGAGTAATAATTCATGATCTAATAACTTCCTTTGTCTGTAAAGCTTCTATGTAAAGCTTGTACTAATCCATGTTTTCATCATTTTATCAAGTCAACCAGAAAAACACTATTAGTTTTATCTAAAATTAACTAGAAGTTCATTGCAATGTTGCATATTGCCATACAATTCTCCCCAAAATAACTGAACCATCACTAGAAGACAATGTAACTAGAGCAACACAACCAGAACAGCTGACAGAACAGTTCACAGCAACAATTACAAACGTTAACTGCGCAAAGAGCATGACACACATAATGAACAACAACAGAGATCAGATATCAGTGAGCACCTGGCTGTTCAAGCTGAGGTGGCTGGACTCGATGGCCCTTCTGAATCTTTTTCCTTTTCTTCATTTTTTCAGATGACTTCTGATTCAAACTTTGGATCATAAAATATTCCAGCTAAAACAAGAAATATATTTTTTTTAAAAAAATTCTAATTATTTAAGAAGAACCTAGACATAAACTAAGAAATATAAGCAGGTAATGTATGCAGGACTGAAGACACTGACACTATGACCAGACATACAGGAGAGTCCCAACACTCTTTTACCAGAAGCTACCATATTTAGGTGGAATTAGCACTATTTAAAAGACTATTTATTCAAATGATGGTGGTTAATTCTTGTGTACTTTATCTTCCTAGAAATGACAGACACAAAGATGCCCAATTTAACAACCCCTGTATATGCTAATTGTATCTTGTCGAGTGAAAGTGGCCAACTTATTTCTCTGTGACACACGGATTTCTTAAACCTTCCTAGTTAAAACCACAACCTTGATACTGCAAATTCAGCTACAAAGATAGAATCCTAGAACAGCTGGGCTTGGAAGGGACCTTAAAGACCATCCAGTTCCAATCCCCCTGCCATAGGCAAGGACACCTTCCACTGGACCACGCTGTTCCAAGCCCCATCCAACCTGGTCTGGGACACTTCTGGCAAGGGGGCATCCACAGCATCGCTGATCAAATCTGTTCCGGTGCCTCACCACCCTCACAGTGGAGAATTTCTTCCTAGTATCTAACCTAAACCTCTTATCTGTGGGAACTTGGTGGAAGAGCTTGTCCTGTGCCTCCACTCACTCTCCAAAGCCCTGACATGAGTTGTGCACCTCCCACCTGTGCCACGCTGCTTCCAACCCAGTGAATTCTCACTCACCACTCCTCCAAAGTACTTCTGTATGTAGAAGTCATTAAGAGTGTGCAGTTCCAGATAAGTGGCTCCTAGTTCCTTTGCAAGCTGAACTCCCTCAGACGTTGTGACACAGCTCCTCCTGTCTGAAGTGCACAGGGGACAGGTGCAAGGCACTCCTGGGGTAAAAAGTGATGAAAAAAAAAAGGCAATTTTTGTCAAATGATCTGGAATTCTTAGATTCCTAAATAATTGTAAAGATTTAGAAAGGAACCATGCAGGAAATGGAAATGTAATTTTACAGGAAGAAATCTGTAATTACTGACCACCCCCCCCAACTTCTTATTAATCAGTTCAAAATACCAGCCTCTCTACAAAGCTCAGTATACATTACATTAGTATTACTTACTCAATTTGTTAAGGTAGAAAAGTCCAGACAGACTTCCAGAAGCCAAGTTTGGCTTTAGTTCATGCTGAGGTCTTGTAATAGCCTGGTAATGTTACCACTTATTAATGTCACACTTAAACTCATTTGAGTACTGTGGCCTGTCCATGCAGGAAGCACACACAGTAATGGAAGGGGAAAAAAGGGGAAAACTTCTACTCCAGACCAAACTGTGATGGGTATGTACCTACTGTGGAACATGGCTCAATTACACATATTTTACATGTATTTTTTTGAAACCAAAATAGGTATTTTTAAGATTATGGCAGTAACTGTTAAAAAGCTTTTAACCACTCTGGCTCAGCTTTGCTTAATGCCAGTAAGAACCTGCCAGCCATGTATGTGTTTTCAAATGTGCTGTCCATGTTACTGTCTTCTGCCTAGACCTATGGATAACATCTAATAAATGAGATTTTTTTTTATATAATTTATTTTAGCAGCACCATTTACCACTACAGAGGATTAAGATCTTAGTAGTTTGTATGAGCAAACTGCTGTGTTCACAAATACCTCCTAGAAACAAAAGAGTTCTCTGTGTGCACAGCAGTTTGCTCTGACAGGTCCCAGTGCAAACCCAGAGATCCAGCCCAGTGTCTTCCATGGCCACATTATTTAGGGATGAAAATAGGAAAAAAAAAAAGGTGGAAAAGAAAAAAAACCACTGATAGTAGAGTCACACAGTGCGGTGCTATACTGTGCTTAAATACAAAGTGTAAGAAAAGGCATGGACGGGGAAGACAATGTAGCCTTTAGAATGGCAGATTTATTACTCCCAAAAAATCAGAGCATAAAAACATTTAGTCATTATCAGTGAATTACTAAAGGAAAAAAAATGAATATTTATTGTGATGTAGTTATTTAACCGTCCTTTATCAGTCACTGAGCTAGAAGATCTGTAAGTAGACCCTGGCAAAACTGAGCACTCCATCCAGAGAAGATGCACTTCATATAGCTGAATATTTCTATGTACATTATAAAATAAATGTCTACACCTATAACCATCATGTCCCTTACTCATTAACAGGAGGGATGCTCAGAAACAATTGTTTTAATCAACTCATAAAGTAAAAGGCAAGTCAGGCTCGTGTTTTGCATTCATTGCTGTAGGAAAAGAAAAAATTAAAAATCAGGTCCAGTGACTAAAAAAACCATGTGAAAGTCAATAAAAACACAATGGAAAAACATTTGGAAATACAGAATAAATTTCTGCTCTATGGGCATCTGTGGTACTCTTTCTGAACTTTAATTACCTGCTGTAGACAGGAGCTACTAATGTCTACCCAAAAGGTGAACATGTTCTCATTGCCCTTGTTAGCTGCTGGATGCTTGTAAGTCAACTCTGTCACTATGCAGATGTGAGACTCTGATTTCCACATTGTTTAAACAGCCACAACAACAGCTTTAAGTATTCTGTGTAAAATCAGTTTGTGCTGTTCTCACAGCAGACTGGACAAGGCATTGTGTGGACAGGTAAGCTACACCACAGCTATACCATATCTACACCATAACTACCAAAACAGGTCAACTCTGTTGATGCAGCAGCACGTGACACTTTGTGCTGCCTGAAAGGCTGGTGTGTCCATTCATCTGATGATATCCTGGAGAATTTCAAGGTTTTTCCCACCAGTTCTCCAGTGTTTGCAAATTGGTAGATATATATTTTAATCTCATACACTCGAGGTACTTTATACCTGAGAGAAGACCACAGAGAACTCTTAACCTTAGTGTTCATGTCACATAAGCAAATACATGTTTATTAATCCAAAGGACAAGATTAAATCCCCATGTGCGATGGCTCCACAAGAAGAGTTGTTGCAGAGGTTAAAGAAGGATAGGTTGCCTTTCATCACTGGAGTTAACTAAGCACAATGTTCTTGACAATATATCAGTCTATAGAGCCATAATACATGTGCATATTACTGTCATCCTGACAGACTAATTGTTTCTGTAAGTAATTTGGAAAAACAACCAGCTTCAACTGAAATTACACCATACCTAACTTCCAAATGAGATTTTAACTGTTGTTATAGGGGGTTGGATACATACCGTTTTTTCTTGCACCAACAGCAGAAATTATTACTGGAACTGAGCAGTGGTTTAATGCTTTTTTTACCATTGGGACATAACTTTCCTTTAGTTCTTGAAATGAAGTCTTATCATTGACAGAATATTTAATCACAATAATATCAGCTCCTCCAATGAGTCTGCAAGAGGTGTACCAGTCACTGGCAAATATATCCTAAAAAGAAAAAAAAATTAATCAACATTTTAGTGTCTATAAAGAGAAAGGAGAAATATTCAATATTCTTAATGAAAAACTTTACAGAAGTATTTTTGACAGATTAGCTCTTATTTGAAGACATACAATAAAGAGCAGAATTCATATTTTGTAATTTCCTTGTTTTGAGAACAAGTTGATTATAATACAAAATAAATGTCTTCTATGGATACAGGAATTCTTCAAGAAGAAAAAAACCAGGTTTTATCTAGGAATACTCTTTGCAGGAAAAAGTTAATTGGTTTAGTCACTTAACTTCAAATTTATTTCATTTAGAAAATAAAAGCATCTTTGGTGGTGAAGGTTTTCGCAATTCATACAAAAACATTATCAACTATACTATTTTAGAGAAAGGGTTCCACGGAACTATATTATGTACCTATGAGTCGTTAAATTTAAATTTAATAAATTCAGTGGCATTTTTATCTGTTTCACAAGAGATTCCATATAGCTTTAACAAGTGTTAATGTCTTCAGAATAAGGATTTCAATCACATATCTAAACTTTCTTTTTCAATATTGTCTTCAATTTTCTGTTATTCTGTGCTGTAAGACTTACACTCTAAAACTGTTTGATATCCTGTTATTTTACAACAGTGCCATATCCATATGCAATACACAGTTATGATGTATTTGTCATGGAACTAAGCTCAGAAATACCAGGGTATTTTTATACGTAAAATCAATGGAAAATTCTTGACACAAATCTGGAACAGGTCCAGAGAACTGAAAAACAACTCAAAACCCCTGAAATACTGGCACCTCTTGGAACAGAGAAACCTGGTTTTGTCCTTCCAATACTTAAAGGGGGCTTATGAGAAAGATGGGGAAAAACTTTTTAAGAGGGCCTGCTGTGATAGGATAAGGTAAATTTAAACTAAAAGAAGGTAGATTTAGGTTGACCATAAGGATAAGATAAGGTGAGGATGGTGAGGCCCTGGCACAGGTTGTCCAGAGAAGCTGCAGCTGCCCCATCCTTGGAAGTGTTCAAGGTCCTGTTGGATGGGGCTCTGAGCAAACTGCTCAACCCCCATGGCAGGGGGGGTTGGAATGAGAGGATCCTTAAAGTCCCTTCCAACCCAAACTATGCTGTGATTCTGTGATTCTGCAGCAGCCCTGAATAGCATGAGGCAAAACTAGAACTTGGGATCTTGAGCAAAAAAAATGGAAATCAGCAGTGATGAAATAAAGATTATGTGAAGAAGTGAAATAAAAGAGCACAGAAGAAGTGATTAAAGGTTACAAAGTTTGGGTTGGGGAGGATGCATGTGAATTTTGAAGAACAAGTCACAGAAATAAGAGCATTAATGGGAGTCTAATACATAAAAGATTAGTAATATCAACAAGTGATGTGACTTCCATTGCCAATAAAACTATTTTTGATCACTTCAAAAGGGTCATTGTTTGAAACATCGTGAGGTAGCTGCAATCCTTTAAGTACAAGAAGTAGCATGACCTTGACGGAAATCAAAGTCAGCAAATATTTGAATATTTGCCTAAACTGTCAGTGCACATCATTCCCAACTCAGGTCTTGCCTCAACAAAGAAATAAGTCACAAAATAAATTATAAGAGGCATTCCATTGATTTAATAGATACTCTTATTCTGCAATAAGTAAACCACAATTAACGATTTATCAAGAACAGTTCTTATATGATTAACCATGTTGACAAGAGAGCACTTTAAATGCACTGCTCTTGGTATTTTCATTTTTGAAACAACTCAGTCAGAGACTATTATAATCCCAGGTTAAGGGAAGTCTCAACTAGCATTTAGTAGAATCATGTAGGCTCTGTTAAGAATATAACATTTACACAAAAATGTAGCACCTCTAGGAGTTAAGACTACCAGCTACAGTGCTTCGAGACAGCCAGCTAGATGGGCACTTGCAGTACATGATCACACAGGAAGGAAAAAATTGAGAATTTCCAAGAGACACCTTTAGGACGTTTTAGCTAACGAAGATCCCAACAGAGAATTTTCAGTAGGGTTGTGTACATTTAAGACAACAAAGGATTAAGGGAAAAATACAATACAAAGCAAAAAATAGAATATTTAGCTGTTCTGTGTTGGCAGATGCCTGATCCTTTGCAATTTTCTTCTAATTGTCTGTCTTCAAGTTAAGCCCAGGTTTGCAACCACCCATCTCAACATAACCAAGGTGTAGAGCAAAAATACACAATAACTCTGCCACAACTTCAAGCAAAAATAATGAAAGGATGTTTTCGGAAACTTCTCACAGAATTTAATAGGTATTCTTTCACATGTAGTATTATAGTTCTATATAATTTATAGCTCCTTCCACTTTACAATGGAGCTAAGTCTCATGTTACCTAGCAAAGATTTTGGGAAGATTTCTAAGGTTTTGGTCAATATGAACACAGTCATGCCCACGTGAAGAACAAACTTTGCCTCTCTTGCTTAGTATCAGCATAAAACTAGTCCTTGACCTACAGCAGAGAACAGGGCTTCTGGATACCAAAGCACACTGAGCTGTGGGTCCATCCTGACACCAGCTCCACTAGCAGGAGAGGACAGGACACCAGGTAACCCACACAGACAGACACACCTGCTGCTCTGGCCCCAGCTCTCATCCTGGCTCTGTATGGAGAGCATCATCCAGTAAAACTGTCCTGGAAGTCTCTTCATGCCCTACTCGACCAATGGCACCCCTAACGCTGTTCTTAGAATCACAGAATCGTTTACCTCAGAAAAGATCTCAAAGATCATTGAGCACAACCATTAACCCAGCACTGCCAAGCCCACTGCTGAACCATGTCCCTAAGCAATGCATCTATGTCTTTTAAATCCCTCCAGGTGACTCCACAACTGCCCTGGGCAGCCTGTTCATATATTTGACAACCCTGTAGGTGAAGAAATTTCCCTGATATCCAATCTAAACCTCTCCGTTTCAATCTGAGGTTGTTTCATTTCATCCTATTGCTTGTTACTTGTTGATGGGAATCTCAACAGAGAATGCTGAGATTCATGCATGAGCTTGATCATGTATAACAAAACAGTGGTTGAAGAGGTCAATGTAACATAGGGGAAAAAACGTAAGAGGTTTGGCTTTTTTTTTCCTAGTGAAAATAATACTAATAGGAAAAGCAGTTACATTCTGGAAAACAAAACAATAAAAAGAAAATATGGTCATAGCCTCATATGATGCCCCCATCCGTACTGTACTGAGCCCAACTTTCTGTATTTTCATCTCTGCAGGTATGAGGAAAACTAGCAAAATCCTTACTGGAAACAACCATGCAGGAGTGCAAATATATCTCTTTGTTTAACTACTAGGAGAAAGAAATCCTATAGAAACAAGATGGAGGCTGTCAGAGTTTCCTGAGTGTGTGTGTGGCTGCATGTCATAGCAGCTTTGTGGAGATCTGTGCACTATGCCACAAGCATGTCTGTCTGTTAATCTTATCAAGAAGGATTTTACCAAATTTTTTGAAGTTCTGGTGGGGATGGACCTTACTTTCCCAGTAAAGGTCAGCCATGGGCACATCAGGAACTGAAAACTGCAGAATGTGCCAACTCAGCATCTCAGGACACCCAATTTCTGCTACTGTTGTGCAGTTTCTTTATACCCTTACACACTAGATTTAACATCCCTTAAGCCCCTCTAGCAACAATATGTTATTTGCACAAAGCATTACTGAGACAGAGCATCTAGAGCCTCCTTCACTATCACTTTTAGAGAACCTTTTGTGCAAAAATGACAGAGGGAATTTCTTCAGGTGATGAGCAACAGTTCAGATTCAGGAATAACCTTACTTTCAGGTTCCATCTATGAAATTCCTGTAGCAGCTCTTCCCCATCACAGTTCCTGCTTTTGGCAAAGTCCATTTCCCAAGTCAGCCATTGACAAAAGGAAAAAGTAACAGCACAGCTGTGACCTTATTACGTATACTTCTGTTGCTATTCCCTCAGGACTTATTAGGAAAAAGCCTCATTCTTGCCTTACGTGCCTCCATTCTACGTGTCTCATAATATATTCTTGCCATTAGCAAGTCACACTTTTCAAGATTTAATGTTGAAAATAAAGCTTTCAGAGGCACTGAAGACAAAATTTTTCCACAAAATCACATGATCCCTCAAGACAACATGCACTTTGTTAAAAATGATTTATGAATGCCTTTATGGAATGGAAGCGAAATTCCTCACACAAGTGCCCTTGCAATACCCACGCTCTTTATGAAAACTACTCGTAAATGTCCCCACATCCACCCGGTCCAGCCCCTGATCTGAGGCATCAGCAATAGCAAGTACTCTTTGTGGGGACAAGCAGCGCTTGGCCACAACATAGGACTGTTCCCCTGGCATCTCCCTGGGATCCAACAGAACTGCACTGGGAATACTGGAAAAGGGTCCACTTACAGATCCAGTCTCCATCAGCAGAGCCTTCTTCCCAGTTATGCTCTCCACAGCACATCGCAGAGTCTTCCCCATTTTTTCAAGGTTTTTCTGCAATTTCTTATCAGGTCTGCAGCAGGACAAATTTTACGGGTGTACTCTCTGTAACTTCCTAGTCCCCTGAACTTACTGAGATAAGTAATCTGCAGCACAGATGGAAGTATCTTCTTCAGAAGTCCCCTTCCTGGGCTGACAGACGTGTCCAGCAGCAGACTGGAACTCAAGCAAACTCACCCTGTACCACAATCTGCCGTACAAAAGGGTCTCCTCATGCACTGGGAAGCATCATGGCTAGGCTTCGCGAATGAAGATTTGAGAAGGGCTCTACCCACGCTTGCTACAAGCGCGTTGATGGCTAAACTGGGAAGCTCTACTCGGTAAATTCACATCCACACTGTTTTTCCAGACTGATGGCTGGGGAAGACAAAAAGAGCAGCTGGGCACCCTGGAGTTTTGAGACTCACAGCTATCAGCATGTTCAGGTGCCAAATTTATGTTTGCAATTAGCTTGCCTTGACCAAATGATTTAATCTAGATGAGATACAAATATTAAGTAAAATGAAAAAACTTCCTTTGTGTTATGCTCAGATGATAAAAGGTAGGAATAATGCAAGGTCCACCATACACTACCTCTATATGTTTTGGTAACCTGCAGCAAGGACCCTTTTTCATGCAGAAAATAACTTGAGGCAGTATCTGTCAGCATTTTGAATGGTCCTGTACTGTTTCCCCAGGCTACCAGAGGAACAGCCCTGAAACCACTGTGGCGCAGCAAACCTCAAGCATTCAGACTATGGAAAACAGTCCTGTTCTGAAGGACACTGCTTCCGGTGTAACTCCTGCAGAGTCCAGTCTGGCTATCTGAGATGTCTTATACTAAGAGAAAAATGCCACTTCGTCCTCAACATTCCTGCCTTCTTCAGCTAATAAAGGAAAAAAACACAAGGCCTCAGTCAATAATAAGCTAGCTTTTGAAGAGCAAAAATTATAAGGAGTTGAAGTACCTAATTTTGCAGAAGGGCAAATACCAGTAAAACAACATAACATCAACTGTGTCTCCAATCTAGGTCCTTTCTTCCACCTTGTCCAGCTATCCTTGTTTGCCTTTCCACCTCCCTTCCCATCCTCCATTCCTCTAAAACAGCCTTTGAAGTCCTACAGCCTTAATTTATATTCAGCAGATTTAACTCGTTGTTGCGCTCTAGTGACTCCAGCAAACTGCACGTGCAGGTCACATGCAGCTTCACAGATCAGAAACAGGATTCCCCAGTCCATCTGAACTGGTGTCTGTAAGTGCAGTTGGCAAAAAGACAGAGAAAACAGAAGGACAGCTAAACTGGATTGTTCAGTTTCAAGATTGACAGCTTCCAATTGAGTATTTCATGAAGCTGTTACGATTTCTGCAGATCCCAAAAAAGGCTTCCCTTACAGAAGAACAAAAATCACTCTAGGAATAGAATTATGGAGCTGAAACTGATTATTGTTTTAATTTCTAAAAGCTGCTAAACGGAATTTTTTTAAGGCTACTAAGTAGTCATTAAATATGTTTTAATTTAGATTATCGGTATAATTTCTTACACAATCATTGATCTGCTCATTCTCCTAACTACGTTATCTCCCTTACTAACAAAAGTGCTGACAACTTGCAACAGTGCCAATATCTTTTTTATTTACCATCAGATAAGAGTAATAATGTTAAGATGTGATTATTCTTTGTAAGAGAAGCAAAATTATTCCCCATACTGTATTTTGCAAGTTATCAAATCTTTTAATCTGTCATTTGTGTGAGCTGGAAAATTTACTGCATTTTCATTTTTATAGGAGAAAAAAAAGGGTTTATTTTATTGTTGACAAATATCTGGAGAGATACTTCATGACTCAGTGTCACAAAAAAGGCATTCTAGTTTTCTTCTGGATTATCTTAGCCACGAAACAACATAGCTGAAAATACCACCTTCCTACAGGGGAGGTGGTCAGAGGAAACTTTTTGTAGCACCTTTGAGATTTTGCAGCATTTGCCTGGTTGCATCTTATATGTTTTTGCTATTTCCAATAATTAAAATATGAATAAAATCCCACAACAATGAAAATTATTTAAAATTAGGATATATTTTCACTCTAATGAAACAGCTTACAGTGTTAGGTGCAGCTAAAAAAGACTGAGACCAATCTCTTACCCAGACAGGACAGTCGTGTATCACCAGTCTGACATTTCCAAACACACAGGCTTGATACTCGGTGAAAACTGAGTTTCCAAAGTGACTGGCAGACAAGCTGCTGTCGATCTGGGAAATGAGAGCACTTCTCCCGAGATAGCTCCAGATCAGACTGGGCTGCTGGTTGTCCTCAGAAAAACCATCTCTTTCATTCCCAAAAGCTACAATATTAACCGACCTAAAATAAAAATAATAAAGGCAAAGTTGTGTTGACAAAGATGAAGGACAGGGATAAAGGGAAAGAAAATAAAATCCCCTTAAATCAAAACTAGCATATTAATCCTTCCGAATCCTCTTCCCTCCCTAGATTTTAACACCCTCCTGTAATCAACAGCGAAACACATACATGATCTCAAATCCAACAGCAGGGTGAAGAGAGCAAAGCGGAAAAGAAACCTGGAAAGGCTGCTTGCATTACAAATCCCCAGCGAGCTTGGCTTGTTATTTGTCGGTGCACACGCTCAGCCTCGGCGCGGTGACCTCTGGGGCTCCTGCAGCATTCTGCGGACAGCCTGGAGAACTTGGTGCTGGCTGTTCCGGGAGATGGACTGCAGCTGAAGCAGCAGTCGCAATACCAGCAGTGGCAGCTGCAGCAGCAGCGGCAGGCTCAGCAATGGCAGCAGGAGTAGCAGGATCCGCAGCCGAGGCAGCGCTGCCCGCGGTGCTCGGCGCTGGCGGTGACGGCGAAGCGGCGGCCCGGGCGGTCACGGCCATCGCATCCTGACGTCAGCCGGCCGGAGCTCGGCCGTGGGCAGGGCGGGCTGAGGCTCTGCAGGGCAGGTGCAGCCAGGTGAGCAGGGCAGGGAAAGGCGCTGGAGCAGCGCGGGGTCCGGCCCTGCACGGGGGAAGGGGGGGGTGGGGTGGGGGGTTGTTTGCAGGACGCGCTTCTGCTGCCCCCCCACCCGGGGAAAGGACCAGCATCCCCACCCCAGGTTAGTGCCACTGCACCAGTGGAGAGACCTGTGACCATCACAGCCAAAGGAGAGAGCAGTGTGAAGATCCTCTGTTAAAACATTTACCTCCTCCCCTTTTCTTTTTTAAATTAAGTAGTATCTATCTTTACAGTATAAATCTCATAATTTTTTAAATGCCATGAACATTTTTTGACATTCATATGACGTTTAAAACATTATTTAAAAAAAATTCTCTAATAAAACAAATACAAATCTCAGAATCACAGAATAGTTTGGGTTACAAGGGTCTTGTGGAGATCATCTAATCCATCCCCCCCCCCCCACCAAGGCAGGGTCACCAGGTTACACAGAAACATACCAAATCCATTCTAAAAATGTCATATTCTCTGTCAGATACTGCTATTTACAATAAAATAACAAAAGAAAAATATTTTAGGCACACTGGTTGATAAACAGCACTCTCTATTGTGCGAACACATGCTACTGTTAATCCTACAGGCAAGAACTCATTCAAAACAAGACTTGATACGATTATCAACAGAACAATTAATAGAGCTTTGCCTGCAACAATCCATACTTTGAGAAAAGCACTCTTCCACTGTTGGTAAATGTAGGAGATTCCATTTGATGTTACTGCCAAAGTTTTATACCAATAGTACTGATTAGCAGTAAAAAATCTTAAGTATTAATATCTGGTAATAAATGCTACTAAGGTATTTGTATTTTTATTACAAATTCTAAAGGGCCTGCTGCAAAATAAAAACAAACAAACAAAACCAACACCAAAACAACCATAATCCAAAACAACAGATAATTGTTATTTTCACACATTTTATCCCATTCCAACTTCTGCTTTTCTAGCTTTGCCTAGAAAACTAAAAGACAAATGACAGGTGGAGGTTATATTTTTGTTTTCATCTGCATAAAGTTTGAATCCATGTTTCTGAGGTGAGTTAAGGCAATCAGATAGAACTACTGCTTTTTTCTCTAGATGATCTTCTGACTCTTCCAACTCTGGTGTATCATCTTCCACATCCAAAGCCTAAGTACTGTCAAAACACTGAGTGTATGATGTTAATTTTGGAAGTCAACATACTCAGAGCACTCAAAATTTTGCAATCATGTCTATTCGTGTGCTTTTCAAAGGTCACTGAAGATCCCTTGGAATCCTTGATTTGAACTGGTAGTGGTCTAGCCGTTGAAAATGAGGAAACCCTTGGCAGAAAAGTTTGTTCAATACTAATGAGCATAACCTGGTATAGCTAAAGAAATAAATGTCTGTGCAGATGCATATGCATACACGAATATGTATATGCAGACGTATATGCATTCCTACTTATATATACATATGCATATGCATATACGTACACAGATGTGCGCACACAGAGAGAGTTGTAACACCAAGAGAAGTTGGGCTGGTAAATAAGGCAGTCCTAATGGGAAGTGACCTAATTAACCCAAACTGCAATTAACATAGCTTAGTCATTGCTGCTGACCTAGTCCTGCCCAAGGGTGCCAAGGGCAAGGGTACCAACCGAGATGGAGGGTCACAGAAAACACTTGTTTTCCTCTCACTCACTTCCTTCAAGCACCTGGGAAACCGTGTAGGACTTACAGAAGTATCAGTTCTGGTGAAGTATGCAGGTGGTGGATGTGGGATTCATTTCAGCTGATGAACAGCACTTAAAACTTACAGAGTAAAATACTGAAATGTTTTAGTAATGCTCCAGCAATGAGAAGATTGAAAATGACATTTAAAAAGCAAGCATTAAAATTGGATGAGAATGCTCTCTGTTCTCCTGTGAAAGTAGGTCCATAACCCTGTTTTTGCCTGCACTGCTGAGGGACTGTGTAATACAGTTCAAATAAACAAACAAAACAGGAAAGGAAATGAGTTCAATTTGGCAGGATAACAAATATCACAAATAGAGAAGTTGCTTGGCACCCCTACCCCAGATACATTGTGCAAGTTACATGGGCACTGCAAGGGAAAGCTGTAAAAGATTGTTTAACTGAGAGGATTACAGAGGATTTCTTGACTACTCCCTGTTTGGCAATCTGGAAGTTGAATACCCTGTGATCAGTAAATGTTTCAGCCAGCAGGCATTTGCCATTGCTGCTGACAAACAACGACTAAACTGCAGAAAAGGGAATCTTTGACAGGGCTCAGGAAACAATTGTAGATTGGTCTTGGGCAGTTTGCACTGGAACATTATTGTTTTGTTCCAAACCATTTCCGTTGCAACTTTCCAGTGAGTACCTCAGATAAAGCACTCAAAACAAATTTGCAGTCCTAGATTACAAAGGGGAGTGCTATTTTCCAGTGCAAGAAGCTAATTGCAGGCAAGTCAAGGAGGAGGATTTTTCCCTTGTGGAAGATATAGCCTTCCTTGAACTGATCCACAGAGAACTATCTGGCCTATATTTTCTGGATAGTGAGGACATTTAATGCACTTGAAATCAAAATTGTTGCCTGGCCTTCTCATCATCTGAGTGCACACTGAACACAGCTGCAGGTGCTGGTGGTATCAGCTTTAGGTATGTGAGTAGAGGTAGATTTCCAGCTTGTTTGTTTTTTGTTTTTCTTTTCAAAGCTAGAAGTAATTCTAAATAACAAAAATACACTTTGCTATATAGAGGTGTTTCCTCCTAATACTGCAAAACATAACCTATGACAGCGTTGGCTTTCTTGGTGCTAGTCCAGACTAGACACAGTTGCTGCAAGATCTGCCAGCCAAGACCCCCTCCTCCGACAAAGCACCATCAAACAAAAAGGAGGTTTTCTTTTGTTACAGCCATCTGCCACATCCCATCCAACAAAATCCCTCTGTGTGAGGAAAAGCAATGAATGAATGGAGGGACAGTGTTAAGGACCACTAGTATTTTTCAGCATAACCATGCCAGAAAAATTATGTAGGAAGCACTCAAAAGCACATTTTTTTAACTTCCCTATATGATGATTTGGGTTGGAAAGGACATTAAAGATCACCAAGTTCAACGCCCCCTGTACACTGAAGCCTATTTCAGGGATGGCACAGGCACTCCCAGCCTGAGTCTGCTGTCCCTCCAGCCCAACATCTTTCACTGTTGACTGCTTTCTAAAAAAAAAAAAAAAAAAAAAAAAAAAAAAAAAAAAAAAAAAAAAAAAAAAAAAAAAAAAAAAAAAAAAAAAAAAAAAAAAAAAAAAAAAAGTTATGGAATGGCTATCCTTGGAGGTATTCAAGATTTCACTGAAAAAGTCCTTGCATAACCTGAGCCCATTAGACGCGCTTGGAATGGAAGCTGGGTTAGATGACATCCAGAGGTCCCTTCTGACCTGAATTATCCCCTGACTGCACAAATCTCCTCCCTCACAGAGAGCGAATACTAAGCCTTGTCCTTCACTTCCTCTTCTTACACCAGCTTTCAGCTCCAATACCAACCTTTCAGCTCCAATCTTGTGGCAACTTATTTTCTTTACAAAGTTTAATAAGCTTTGCAAAAAGCTTCTCAAAGGCTTTTTGAAAATGCAAGAGGATTATTATGCCCACACGACCCCCTTTATTGGCATATATACTGCCGTTCCTGCAAAAGCAGTGATGCTGGCCTTCACTGGAGCTCCTCCTACACCTTCCAACAGACTATATTTATCCACATGTCCCTTGTTCTCATTTTCTGTCACAGGCTGTGTTATCTCACCAGGAATGGTAGCTGGTCCCGCTGGTTTGGCATTCCCTGGACTCTGCTAAAGCAATTTTTGAAGATACTGATAGCCTTCAGTGACATACAGACCCCGAACCCAATTCTGTGTTTTCTTGTCACAATTTCTGAAGAAAGTTCTCAAATATGTTATCTACTTCTGGCCATTTACTAACATCTACTTTAACTACTTCTTTTTTCTAGTCTTAGTGTATCAGATTGAATAATATCAGGTCAATATTGAAACAAAAATATAAAGGGGGTGGGAAATGATCTGATGGGAGGAGAAGGAGAAAAAAAAATGTCAGTTTTCAAATTTAAACCAGATCAGGTCTGTGGTAGAACACAGCTGTACAAACAATTAGTAAGCTATGGAAAGCTTCTAACTGAGGGTCAGACATGGATTACCAGAGCCAACTCTGGATGTTCCACAGAAGGATTGCCTTCAGCAGTAAAGGGAACAATGTCCTGTATCATGAGGAGAGGACCCATCTGGTGGGTCCACGCCATCTGGTGGCATGACCAAACTTTGAGCCCTTCACACCATGGAGAGGTGAAGGGCTGAAAGCACTGCTGCTGCCGAAGAACCCCCATTCGCACTGGTAGGAATCCCCAACTGTAGATGCAGAGCTGCTTTCTCATGTCATAGTTTATTAATTGCTATTAATTGCATTAGAATGCAGTTCAAAAGATAAAAAAAAAAGTAGTAGTTTATATGTTTTTCTGCTGTTTCAGAAATGGAATATATTGCCACAAGGTGGACACGGACCACCACATCATGCAGAGGAGCATCACCCCCAACCCAGCCTGCCCTGGTTCCCCTCTCCTGTTGGCTTAGACTTGTGCTGAGGCTGAGCTGCAGGGAGAGGTGGGCATGCAGCAAGCATCACAGCCATGGGGAAATGCTGCCCGCCAGAGAGGGGGGAAAGGTCTCTTCTGGGTCAGCCAGGCCACATACACTGATCAAACCCTCTGCTGCCTGGGTGGCCTCTTCCACAGTGTACTCAGAGAGGTGTAGGAGCACTCTGGATGCTGCTGATATTTGGGGGCAGGGAAGGGATGCCAT